ATGCTGATCAAGAATATATATGCTTTATAGGGTCGGAAATGATTCCTGCACTGCGTTTTAAGCTTCTGACTGTAATTAAAATACCTTTGCATGGGTATAATGATTATTAAAATTAAAATTAGCATTCAACTTTGGGAAGTCATGTAAATTTGTATAGTATTTCCTTTTTTCTTAACCACATGATAAAAACAAATAATTTTCAATACATATGTTTATAAAGTTTAAAGATGCTAGTTAACAAGAACATTTTTTAATCTTCCAAAGAAGATAGAAAAAATGTGAAATTTCAAATTTTTAGTATATATTTTCATTATTTTAATAATATCATATTACTTCATTTGATAATTGTATTCTGTTATCATAGAGTTATTATTAACTAAGAATTTTTTTATATATTTAAAATTAAAAATGTTTTAAAGAGTTAAAGTACTTTTGGTAAGTTTGCAATGTGTTTAGGATTGTAGACACACATTTACGAGTTCCTTGTCGCGCCACCAAAAATGTTGTCTGCCGCCAATTTTCCGCCTCTTTCCGCCCCTTTCCGCTCCCCTCTGAAGGTTTCCAGACCAGCTTCCAATTTATAGGATTTTTTGGGGTGGCCTAAACGGATTTAGCCAGCGAAAGGGGAATTGACCAACCCAATAGATAGCCCCACTTAAATGGCAATAGCTAAAACAATAACCAAAGAGAGCATTTTAGATGCGGATAATCAAATTATTTTGTGTCGGCCCAAAATCCGCAGCGTATCCACTAATTGATTTTGTCTTTACGGAAAAGGGGGAAAATTGAACATAACCATAGCCATCGCTGTGACGGTCAAAATATATTATAATTCGTTTGAGGGCTGATGCTGCCGAGGCAACTTTGTTGTCCATCAGAGAAATTGCAGTTGAAAACTTTTGCTGTTGTAACACAATTTGCTGGGCCTTTTTCGTTGGCAACTGAAAGATGGATAAATAGATAGATAGAATGCATGGGCGGGACCACATGGCGGATGAGTGCGAATGGGTTTGGCAAGAGTTTTGTTTAATTTGCAAGGTGGATTCTAAGAAATAAATTAGGTAAAGGTAAAGATATATACTTTGTGTATTTCAGAGTTTAATAATTTGCAATTCAAGCATCCTTTCTCAGGAAATTGTTAATTTGCTGACATAACTTTTAGTACTTGAAAATGCAACCAAAAACCAATCAGTTTAGTGGGCCATAAAAACTGCTTTAAATGGCCCAGTTTATATATAATATATAACCTACCAAAAAAAAAACGTTGTCATTTCCTTCTTGCTCTTTTTTTCTACTAAATATTTGAGCTTGCGTCATTTTGGCTGCTGCTGCTGCTTTTGCATCGACTTTTCTATGGCTTTTTGCCTTAATTTGTTTTCCGGGCGCCAGACATCGACTACGACGACAGCGACGAGGAAAGCGAAAATTGGAAATTGAAATTTGATTGATTATATTACAATGATTACGGGAATGATTTCCCTATGCTAAGACCCCGCTGAAATTCCCTCGGTTAATGCTGGGGAGGCGCAGGAGGAGAGGAGCCCATCAAAGTGTTGCAAACTTAATTGCTGTCAATTGGTGGGAATGGAAAATCAATCGGGAGGAGGAATCACTGCATCCACCGAATCACTTGCAGTGCAGTGTGGTGTCTCTCGCCCACTGATTGACACTGAACTTAGCCTTCCCAGAGTGAGTGGGGGCGTGGCCCCATCTTAATTGAACACAGCAAACACTGTTGGCAAGAAGCCTCTTTGGACTCTGATCTCCTTGATGGGCGATGCCGAGGCAGTGGCTGACTTGGCTGACTTGGCTGACTGACTGACTGGCTGGCTGGCTGCCTGTCAATGGACCGCTCGTGTCCGTCGAGCGGAAACAAGCGGAAAACACAGGAAAATGTCATGTTTTTGCTTTTCGAGGGATATGTGGCCCTCAGAAAATAAACATAGAAACAAGAAAGGAAGCTAACTTCGGTTAGACGATGTTGGTATACCCTTGGATTAGGGAAACGAATGTGAAATTAATCATAACTAAGCCAAAAATGCTTTAATTTCAATTCGGAAAGCGGTTCTTTGCTAGGTTTTATTAGTTTAACAAATCTGCATACTTAGTTTAAAAATTTAAGAAGTTTACAAGAAAGGAAGCTAACTTCGGTTAGACGATGTTGGTATACCCTTGGATTAGGGAAACGAATGTGAAATTAATCATAACTAAGCCAAAATGCTTTAATTTCAATTCGGAAAGCGGTTCTTTGCTAGGTTTTATTAGTTTAACAAATCTGCATACTTAGTTTAAAAATTTAAGAAGTTTACAAGAAAGGAAGCTAACTTCGGTTAGACGATGTTGGTATACCCTTGGATTAGGGAAACGAATGTGAAATTAATCATAACTAAGCCAAAAATGCTTTAATTTCAATTCGGAAAGCGGTTCTTTGCTAGGTTTTATTAGTTTAACAAATCTGCATACTTAGTTTACAAATTTAAAAAGTTTGCATTTTTTGTGAATTTTTGAAAATTTTAACGATGTAACCCCTTATAAAATTTGGAAAAAATTGGTTAATTTTTTTTTCATCAAATTATAGCTTGTTTCGATTCTGCTATTGATGCTGATTAAGAATATATATGATTTATAGGGGCGGAAATAATTCCTTCGCTGTTTTTTACGCTTCTGACTAAAATTAAAATACCCTGCAAAAGTATAAGAAAACAGCATTAAATACACTAAAATCTGGGACTTATTTTTTTTTCTTCTTACAAAGAGTGAGGTTTTTAATGTAATTTATATTATTATTTAACTATAGATAAAAGTCAATATATAGATCTGAAACATTGACCATTTTCCAGTTCTAGTACACAACCCTGATTAGCAATTAAATATAAAGCTCAAAGCCATTAAATATTGGTTACTATTTTAATATCTTTAATAAAACAGAGTATTTAGTGATTGCTTCTAAATATAAACATTGTATTAAGCAAATGTAGTTTTTATGACTATTTTATGTGTGTTTTTTTGTTTTGTTTTGTGGGTCCTACTATAACTATGTGTGTGTGTGTTTGGGTATGAAATCAATGAGTTTGAGTTGTTGGTTCATTTGCTTCGATGCCAAAGTGCTCCTCGCCAATTCCATGCCATGTTCGACAATCGTTCGCGGGACTGACTAAAGCACTCATAGCACTTGAGTTCATTTAATTCATTTCGCGGCAACCGACGCCGCAATTTATGTAGGACACATAAATATATAATTTCCAAAATACGCACGAAATTCCCAGTGTTTGTTTGACGTGAATTTATTATGGCAACGCCCGGCGAACGATTCCGTTGATTTTGGATTTCAGATTTCGGATTTTTCAGATTTTCTGATTTCTGATTTTGTGTGTTTTCTGAACCTGCAGTGCGAGGAGCAAGCACACCACGTATTTACACTTGCATAACTTGAAAATATATGCCCGAGGCACTTGGCATGCCGCAAATAGAATATTTTTTTGGACAAGCCCACACACACAGAAAGGCAAAGAGCATTAAGTTTTTGGTACAAGTGGCGAGTACGTGGACGTAAATCGAAAATATTCACGTCTCATTATATTAATGTCGCTGCGAAAATGCAAATTCTAAATGCGTACATCAAAAAATGATTCAAACAAGCAGCAGCAGCAGCAGCAGCCCCCAAAAGCAAACAAACAAGCCAGCGAGCAAACAAATTGACGGCAGATCAGCGAATAAGCCAACTGTTTTGACTGACTGACTGAATGACTGACGGTCAGACTGACAAACTGCTGCCACAAAAACAAAGCCAACATTCGTGTTGACGTCTAATTGTCGCTGGATCTGTCGGTGGCAAACTGTTTAAACACAAAAAGACAGCCTGATCCAGCTGGTTTGCAGAAAGTACTCCCCATAGGAGTTCATTCCCATTGATCAAGTGACGATCAAGTGCAGGATCATGTAGATACTTGAGAAGTGTACAGAAAAATAGAGAAGGAAAGATCCAGTCCAAAACTTATATACTCTATATACCATGTTTGAAAAATTATAAAGCATTTTCTGGTCTAACCAAAGTTGGCTATATATTAAATTTAATAATCAGTTTAAGAATATTCACTCTTGTCAAGGCTCTCCTTTACCACTGAAATCCCTCCACACATTAATATTAAATCCATCTAATGGCCAAAGGAGTAGACCAAGCGACACCTTGCCACCATTTCCTCTGGGCAGGTGCTGGCTGCTGGCTGCTGTGGTGTGGCAATGTTCCACGATGTCTATAAATGTTTTCATGCCTAATTGATTTAACGTCTTGGGGCAGAGCCGAATATAGACATCGATCCATTGGCGGCGACGGCGACGGCCAAATATTCCACGCTGCACTCGTTAAAGCCGGCTAATTACGGATTTTATTTGCGAAATTAATTTGTGAATAATATTTCAATGAATTTAACGGATTGCCGCATACAAATCGCAATTAATCTTCCGCCCCAAAATCTCGGTTGTCAGCAGAAGCCCAAAACCCCAGCGCCCCAGAACCAGAAGCAAAAGATTATCTCTGGCCAGATCCCAGATCCCAGAGTTCCCTGGGAAAGTGAGGCGACTGACCAACTGAACATTGATTGATTTCTCGCCGTCCGTTTACTATTTATTTTTAGCAAATATTGTTATTTTATTTTTTTTTTCGTTCAGCAAAAGGAAATTTTATTTTAAGCGATTCCGCATCGAGGCGTGTGTGTGAGCTGACGGGGCTTTGCTGCTGGGCATTGATGTGGCTCTCGTTGGTGGACATTTTCCCCTCCATTGGTTGCGTGCGCCATTGTGGTCATGGTGGGATTGACACCTTCCTCTTGTCGCCACAGCCCCACCAGGCATATGGCTTCAAGGTCACCTCGTTACGCTTACAGGGAGGGAAAGGCTAGCAAATCATCTCAGATCTTGCCACATCTGATCTAGTATATATTAATTAATTAATAATTAGAATATTATGTATATTTCTATTTATAAAATACCTTTAATTGCAGCTCCCAACAGCAGTCAATCTACCTTTGGCAGGCGTCGAGTGTTGCCGCTTAATAGCGGCGGCGGCGCCGCATGGATCATGCCGTGAAGGCGACGCGCGGCCGCCCGCTCAACACGCTGCGCTTCGAGAATGATGAGCTGGAATGCCTCTATCAGCGGTACACGCTCAAGCTGCAGCGCTTTTCGGTGCTGGGCGTGGTGGCTCTGGTGGTTGTCCTCTGCGGCGTAATGGCGGCCCTGTCGCTGGCCTTCAACAATGCGGCCACCTTTCATGTAAGTCCATCCATTTATTTATTTCAAATAATATTTACAACACTCGAAATTCCCCCACAGAACATCTTCAATGCAATTGTCTGTGTGCTATTCGCCGTGGTCCTAGTCCTGCTGCAATGCTCTGTGATCAAGGATCATCACCTGCCCACACTGTGCTATGGCATTCTGCTCTTCACTGCGAGCATCTGTGTGGTCTCGATGCCAACGCTGGGCAGTGTGTTTCCCGTGGATACCAAGGAGGTGATGGCCGAGGGCGTCTGGCAGATTGTCTTTGTGGTCTTTTTGGCCTACGCAATGATGCCACTGCAGATCTGGGAGGCGGTGGCCTTTGGCATTGCCCTGCCCTCGGTGCACATCAGTCTCACCGTTTACAAGATCTTCACGGATGCATTGCGTTACCTGGAATATAATCAACTGATTGCCAACATTGTCATCTTTATTGGTGTGAATGTGGCCGGCCTGGTGGTGAACATCATGATGGAGCGGGCCCAGCGGCGGACCTTCCTCGATACACGCAACTGCATCGCCGCCAGGTTGGAGATTCAGGATGAGAACGAGAAGCTCGAGCGGTTGCTACTGTCCGTGCTGCCGCAGCATGTGGCCATGCAGATGAAGAACGATATCCTCTCGCCGGTGGCTGGGCAGTTCCATCGCATCTATATCCAGAAGCACGAGAACGTGAGCATCCTCTTTGCTGACATTGTTGGCTTCACGGTGCTCTCCTCACAGTGCAGTGCCCAGGAGCTGGTGCGTCTGCTCAACGAGCTCTTTGGCCGATTCGATCAGCTGGCCCACGACAACCATTGTCTACGAATTAAGATCCTAGGAGATTGTTATTATTGTGTTTCCGGTTTGCCAGAGCCACGGAAGGATCATGCCAAGTGCGCCGTCGAAATGGGACTGGACATGATCGATGCCATTGCGTGAGTAATAGTTTTGGCTACTCAAAAATAATTATATATATACATATGTATGTATGTACATCTAAATATATAGTCCACCGATTCGCCATGCTCCGAATTATATACTAGTAAAATTATATAGAAGAATAACTCCTAGCTTGCTTTAAATTTGTTCCAAAACAAATCTCGCACATCTGTGCATATGATTCCCAACTTGTTCTAACATCCCCGGAACGAAGTGACTGCTGCCGGCCACGTCTCAGAAATGTGTTGTGTTAAAAAGTTGCAAGTCATTGTTTACTAGTGTTCAAAGTTAGTAACTGATCATACGTACTTACTGGTCATAGATACTCACTGTTCAGAGTTACTTACTGGCCATAGATACTCACTGTTCAGAGTTAATTAATGCTTATAGCTACTTACTGATTATAGATACTTATTAGTCAGAGTTACTTACTGCTCATAGTTTGATTTCTTAAATTTTCCGATCGTTCCTATGTGAGCTATAAATATATATAGTCCACCGATTCGCGATGCTCCGACTTACATAATAGTAAAATTATATAGAAGAATAACTCCATAGTTTTATTCAAATAGCTTGCTTTAAATTTCTTCCAAAACAAATCTCGCACATCTGTGCATATGATTCCCAACTTGTTCTAACATCCCCGGAACGAAGTGACTGCTGCCGGCCACGTCTCAGAAATGTGTTGTGTTAAAAAGTTGCAAGTCATTGTTTACTAGTGTTCAAAGTTAGTAACTGATCATACGTACTTACTGGTCATAGATACTTCAGAGTTACTTTCTGATCAGAGTTACTTAATGTGCATTGTTACTTAGTGTTCATAGTAACTTATTGTTGAAAGATTTACTGATCCTCTAGATTTAACAACCGTTTTTTTTTTGCAGTTATTCTATACTATATATTATTCCGACTTTCATAAAATTATTCATAAATTAATCTGACTGAAATTATAATACCCTGCAAGGGTATAACATAAAAGCTACTTGAGATTGTTGGTTATTTTCCATAATTTTTGATTTAAGTGTCTGACCGGTCTTCTTCTTTTGTTGCTGATAAATTAGTGCTTTTCTGATGATAACACAAACATACACTTTAACGACCATTGTCAGTGTTTGATTCTTATTGATATACATAAGTGCTTAACGTATCATAATTGAGGAGACAATCAATAAAATAAGGATTTGTTGAGCACACTGTTGATTTGTAAATATATTTAATTTAAAAAACGAAAAATATGCCAGTACTTTACACTAAATGTTTTTAATAATTATATTGTTATACCCTTGTAGGATATTTTAATTTTAGTCAGCACTCTCTCCTGTATATATATACATATGTGTGTGTCTAATACAATTCCCCCTTTTCCTCTGCCATCTTTCACAGCACCGTGGTGGAGGCCACCGATGTAATCCTGAACATGCGCGTGGGCATTCACACTGGCCGCGTGCTGTGCGGTGTTCTGGGTCTTCGCAAATGGCAGTTCGATGTGTGGTCCAACGATGTGACACTGGCCAATCACATGGAGTCCGGCGGTGAGCCAGGCCGTGTGCATGTGACCCGGGCCACCCTGGACTCACTGTCTGGTGAATATGAGGTAGAAGCCGGCCATGGAGACGAGCGATCCTCGTACCTGCGGGATCATGGGGTGGATACGTTCTTTATTGTGCCGCCACCACATCGCCGGAAGGTGAGTTCTCCGTACAAATTCCTGATAGATTTATTAGCTAATCTCTTCGATTTCTTTTTCGTATCGTTCCACAACAGCCACTGATGCTCAATACCCTCGGCGTTCGATCGGCCATCGGTAGTCGACGGAAGCTCTCTTTTAGGAACGTGTCCAATGTGGTCATGCAGTTGCTGCACACGATCAAATTCTCGGAGCCCGTTCCGTTCTCCAACATAGCCACCGGTTCGTTTCCTTCAGCGGCAAACGCATTGGGCGGCGGTGGCGTTGGCATTGGTGTGGGCGTGGCACGTGGAAGCAGTAGTGAGGCAAACACCGGCAGCGGCGTACAGGTGTCGGAGAAGGGAGGATCGCGTAAGGTAAGTGATATACAACATTATCTTGCACTCCATTCGGGTTGGTACTCGGTCCGGAGCCAAGTTTGGGGCGAGTTTTTGCATATAGGCAGTTGTTCCTGTAGCTCGGTTGTGTTCTGTTGTCGTAGTTCCAGTTGAAGTTGCAAGTTGAAGTTGAAATTTCAGTTTCCATTCGAGTTTGAGTTTAAATTTCAGTTCCAGTTCCAGTTCTGTGCATGTCCGGGTTTGGGTTAGGGCCTTTGAGGGATCACAGGGTCACGCTTTAATGGTTAATGGTGGCTTCGGTGTGTGGCTTTTTCCGTACTCTGTAACATATATCCCGATCCACTGCGATCTTTGGGTAGCCGCCGCCGTACTCTCTCTGTCTCCTTTTCATTTCTTTCTTTGATTTGTTTCCTTTCGTTTTCTTTCAGGATGCGGTAAGTTTGCCTCGTGTCTATGCCTAAGTATTTCTGCCACCAGTCGAAATTCCCGATTCCGTTATCGATATAGCCGATATATTATATATAGTATATTACATATAACCCCCTGCCGTTGCGTTTTCTTTTTGTTTTCGCTCTTATTTAGTTCTCCGCCGGGTTTAACTTTTTCGGTTTTCCCCTTACTCCCTTGGGCCCCTTCGTTTACGTTGTCGCATTTCAAATTATTAATAATTATTAATTATTATAAATATCAAATATATATATATATATATATATAGACATTTGTAGCATTAGCTTAAATAGAAATCAGTATATACGCTGCTATGTATACTAACAACTGTAGTGTGTAAGGTATATTGAGAACATTCGTTTGTCTTTTTTTGTGCATCGATGTTGTTTGTATAAATGTAGTTTGAATGTAGAGCTACTATATATACCATATATATCAGAGTCCACACAATAGGAGGTATCAAAATATGTAAGTTTAGTCAATTTCTGCCATCGATTAATGCTACACTGACACCTCAGATGATAATTACTTGAGCTGTTCTAATGTCTTTTAAATTAACTGACTAAGTTTATTGTTTGAAAAGTACATTTTCATTTAACTTACCCATTAAGAAATACAACTTATAGATGTTCTATTTGTACCCTTGCTGGGTATATTAATGACCAAATCTTGATCCCTTGACCTTCACTAAATACGCAGATTTGACTTTGACCTTTTATTTTCTTTTTACTCAAAAGTAGTGTTCTTTTGTTTGGGTTTTTATGATTTCAATGAGCTTGAAGTATTGGTTTTGATTTATTTTTAAAATATTCGAATAATTAAACGTATTGATTTCTCTTATCAGCTGTGTAGTATCCTAAGAAGACCAAGCTCTAATTTTGTCACAGCTGTGACTGCCTTAAAAAACTCTTTACAATGGTTTACCTTATTTCCGCTAACCCGCTATTTTGGCCCACTGTGCGACTTGGCCTGTACTCACCTGAAATTTTAGTGCTACTACGATTACAGCCAGCGATTACTCAGTTTCGCTATGTTTCGAGTTTTGTTTTCACTTAAGGCATAACACCAGAGTAAACAAGGTTATATGAATATATATATAAAAAAAGAAACCTTCGAAATTTGATAATTAATTCGATAAATCGTTCGAAATATGATACGATCCACTTTGGTTTTACGCCTTAAAGCGCCTCTTTCTTACCTTACTTGTTACTCTTCTTTCTCGCCCTAACCAAACTTACCGTTACTCGATTAATTGTACTTCTCGCTACTATTGAATCTAGCACTAGGATAAGCAAACTCTCTATCTTTCTCTATCTATCTTTTTGATCTTAATGTACATATGACTTATATAAGTATACGTAACACTTCTTTGATCTAGGTGATCCGTCTGCAAAAGATCTTGCATGCAACACCGCCACCGCACGGCGTGAGCTATGGCAGCGTCGGCGGCGGTGCCAGCGTCGTCCTTGGCGGTAGTGGTGGTGGTAATAATAATGGAGGAGGTGGTGGCGGTGGCGGTGGCGGTGTGGGCAGTGTTCAAGTGACCGTAGGCACAAATCCCAACTCAACAGCGAGTACGATTAGTCGCATTCATAGGCACAATCACAAGAACAATAAAGTGAGCAGAGCAGCAGCCAACAAACAATTTTTTACTTTCGTTCATTTGTTTCAGTCGTTATTTCAGTCAATCGTTCTCTCGTTCAATCGTTCAATTGTTCACTCGTTCCTTTACTCGTTCGTTCGTTCGTTCAGTTTTGTGTATCGTTCATGTGCTGTCCTTGTGCGTTCATGTCCATTCGTTAAATAAGTGTGTTACTTGTCACTACTCGTAAGTGTGTCTCGCTCGTTCATTCGTTAAGTTATTGCGATGGCTAGAAAGTCCTGTCGTGCAAGGCTTCGTTGAGTTACGATTCGCTTTACCAAAAAGCTTAATGACACTGAACTTTAACGCGATCTAGTTGGATATAAATAATATTTGTAGATATAGCCTTCAGTTTGTAGACAATTTAAAGTAAACTTTATGCTGGTGAATCCTTTAGTTTTTTATAATTTTTAAAATGTAGAATTAGAAGCCAGTAGTTTAACTGAGACTCTTTATTTTGGCATTAATTTTATTTACTATCTAGTAACAACTTAACTTATATATATCACTAAAAATATATCAAAGTTAGGGAAGCCTCGATGCCTTTTTAATCATATTTCTAATTGGTTCAGTGTCAACACAAAGCTTGCCCAGAGCCAGCTATAGCTCTAGCTCTCGCTCCATTTTAATTTTCCTTTTCCATTTCCCATTTCCCATTCAACATCCGGTGTGCATGCTCTAGCCCAGCTTTTTCGCTCCGCATGTTTAGTGCAACTGCCCAGCCCAGTCTTGCTGCCTCTCAGTGCTCAGTGCTCAGTTCTTAGCATGTAGTTGGTGTGCACACACGTAGAACACACAGACACACACACATACACACACTCTCTCTATTTTCAATTTCAACTATCGAATCTTCAGTGAGTGGCGCCTTCAGCGAGAAGAAAGCGACAAGTGCCACAAACCTAACTAACAATCTCAACTTTTCTTGCTCCCTCTTGCATGGCTTTCCGCCCCGGCATCCGCATCCGCATCCGCATCGGCATCCGTCGCAGTCGCAGTCAAAGGTGGCGGACAAGTTCAAGCGACCCTTCAGGAAGCGTCACTCGGTGGCTGCCCACCATCAGCCCACCAATCGGGTGAATCGCTTCCTGTCGCAGGCAATCAATGCCCGGTCCGTGGACTGCGATAAGTCGGAGCATGTGGATAGGCTGACGTTGCGCTTCCGGCAGAGCGATATGGAGCGCGAATATCACAAGGACTTCGATCTGGGCTTCACCACAGCAATGGGCTGCTCCCTGCTGCTGCTCATCCTGGGAGCAGCGCTCCAGGTGACCGCCCTGCCGCGCACTCTCATCCTGCTGCTGCTCTTCCTCACCGCCTTCATTTGGGTGAGCGCCATACTAATGCTTCTCCTCGCCGTGCGTCTCAAATGGATCATCTGGGACATTTCGGAGAGTTTCACACTCCGCATGGCCATCACGATCTTTACGATTATCCTCATCTACTCCGTGGGTCAAGTGAATGTGGTAAGTTATCTCTGACAATTCCTTAATGAATGTGGAAGCTCAAAGGCCATTTTTCCAAACTTTTTAATGATGTTTTCCTGTAGTTTACATGTGTCTCGGATCATCCCTGCTCTGGCAATGCAACAGCCACCGCCTGGTCTAGTCGTAGGGAGCTGGACCCGCACTTCTTCTCGTATCCCAACGACTCGCACCGCAAGTGCTCCCTGCCGCAGTATGTTTCCTTGTCGGCCGCCTTTGCCTTTCTGTCTGTCTCCGTGTTCCTCAGGTAAGTGGTGGATTCATCCCTCTGTCACAAGGAGCAGCTAATTGATGGCCATGTACTGCCAACAGGTTGCCCATAATATTCAAGTCGCTGCTGGTGCTGGGCATGGGCACCATCTACGGTCTGTTTATCGAGCTGTCGCATCAAAACATCTTCGAATGCTACGACAACCGGGTCAAGTAGGTCAACCCGTTTAAATATATCTACAACATATGTATTCTAATCCCAAATTCCTTTTCCTGCAGCGCCTCAATTCCGCTTCACTTGATCTCGCTGGCCCGTATTGCCATCTTCATGATTGCCATACTGGTGCATGGCCGCCTGGTGGAGGGCACTGCCCGGCTGGACTTCCTTTGGCAGCTGCAGGCCTCACAGGAGAAAAAGGAGATGGACGTGCTGCAGGAGTCGAACAAGCGCATTCTGCATAATTTGCTGCCCGCTCATGTGGCTGCACATTTCCTCGATGCGCAATTTCGCAACAACATGGTAAGTGCTGCTCTGCTGACCCACTTGGCCAGACATGGTCGACAAACCGATCAATGTTCCATGAAAAAATCGATATTTTATTTCCTTTCTAATTGCAGGAGCTCTACCATCAAAGCTATGCCAAGGTGGGCGTCATCTTTGCCAGCGTGCCCAACTTCAATGAGTTCTACACAGAGATGGATGGATCCGATCAGGGCTTGGAGTGCCTTCGGCTGCTAAATGAGATCATAGCGGACTTTGACGAGTTGCTTAAGGAGGATCGATTCCGGGGCATTGATAAGATCAAGACCGTGGGCAGCACCTACATGGCCGTTGTGGGTCTCATACCCGAGTACAAGATCCAGCCCAATGATCCCAACTCGGTGAGGCGCCACATGACAGCACTTATTGAGTATGTGAAGGCCATGCGACTGTCACTGCAGGAGATCAACAGTCACTCCTACAACAACTTTATGCTGCGTGTTGGTGGGTATAACCTGGGGAAATCTATTTTACAGCATTCCATAAACATTTGAATATACTTTAGGCATCAATATTGGACCTGTGGTGGCTGGGGTGATTGGAGCCAGGAAGCCGCAGTATGATATTTGGGGCAACACTGTGAATGTGGCCAGTCGGATGGACTCTACCGGTGTGCCGGGCTACTCTCAGGTAACCCAGGAAGTGGTGGACAGCCTGGTGGGTTCGCACTTTGAGTTCCGGTAAGTTTCCTTTAATCTTTTCTTTGTAAATCTTGAATTTCATAAATCGCATTCCCTTGCAGTTGTCGCGGCACCATCAAGGTGAAGGGCAAAGGCGACATGGTCACCTACTTTCTGTGCGACAGTGGCAACAAGTCGCTAAACGGAGAAGTGCGCAACGCCATGTCCCTGCCCCAAAGTCTCCACGCGCCGGATTATTACATGAAGGCCTCGCAATTCCCGGAGAATCGCGTCAACACGGACACCTACAGCAAGAAGGAGAACGGCCACCTATATCCGGGCGCCGGCGAGGAGCAGCAGTTGCTGCTGCAGCATCAGCACAAGCAACTCGATCCGCTGCCGCTGCCTGCGCCTCAGCCACCGCCACCGCCGGTGCATCATCATCTGCACCAGCAGCAACAGCAGCGGCTGAATAGCAAGCTGCAGAAGCAGCCCAACTTCATGGCCAACGGCGGACTGCCCAATATAAGGGAAAACGGCAATGGGAATGGCAACGGGCACAATGGCGACCAGCAGCACGGAGACTTCGCAACTTCAACGACAACGCCGGCTGCAGTGGCGGTTGTTCCCTTCCAGCACCAGCTACAGTTCCAGCATCCACACCCACATCCACATCCAGTGCAGCACCACCAAATCCTACTCCAGCACCAGCATCAGCTGCAGCTGCAGCACCAGCACCAGCACCAGCCCGTTCCTTCGGTAATGTTGCGCGAATTTAATATTATTGAGAACCCAACTCTGGGCGGCATCCGGCATCCGCAGGTGGAGCAGCTGCCGCCGCAGCACCACGGCAGCCTAGATCTATCCGAGATGGGCGGGAATATGGGATTGGGAATGGGCATGGGTGTGGGTATGGGAATGGGTGTAGGGGCCGGAGGAGTGCTAAGCGGCGGCGGCAGTGATTGCTTCATGATGCCGCGATCGCGAGATCGCGAGTTACGCACCTATGCGCCGCCCTTTAACCAGCATGGCCATCATCCACTACTGCATCACCTCCATTCGAATCCGAACCCGCATCAGAGCCAGCATCAGCATCAGAACCCGCCATCGTCCACCAGTTTGGGCCTGGGCTATGGCCACTGCCGGGAGAGCGAGCCGCTATTGCATGCCAGCAGCGTCGCGCCGGTAGCCAAGGTGAGTGAAGACGCTGAACACCTGCTCTGGAGCAAGGAGATCCTCCTCTGAGTACAGCACAGTCCTGCTTGCTCCGTTTCCCAGTGTCAAGTGAATCTCGAACCCAAATAACCAGCACCACCACCAGTGCCAGCTCCTGGATCTCTCTCCTCCTCCTCCTCATCCCATTTGTAACTAACAACTAGAATGACCTAGCGTAGACTATAGGGTTTTCTTTTTTGTAAGCTAGGAAAAGGTTTTAAAAATTTTACATTATTAATTTAGCTCTTTAAATTTTATTCTATATTTATCTATTGTTTATGTATTAGCTAACCGAGCTTTGTTTACAATTTTCATACCCATTCAGTGGTATTATAATTTCAGTCAGAAGCTTAAAACGCAGTGAAGGAATCATTTCCGACCCTATAAACCATATATATTCTTGATCAGCATGATCAGCCTAGACATTTCCGGTTGGAAAACAAAAATTTTCTAACATTTTTAAATTTTTCAAACAAGGGAAAGGGGTTACATCGGTAAAAGTTTAAAAAATTGACAAAATTTTGATTTTTTTTAAATTGGTATGCAGATGTTTTAACCTGTTAAAAACTAGTTTAGTACAGCTTTTCGAATTGAAATTAAAGCCTTTTTGGCTTAGCTATGAGATTTTTAAACGTTGATGATGTCGATAAATATTGATTTAAAGAATGTGAATATTTTAAGATAACCTATCTTTTAACTATAAATTATACATAAAGCTATACTTTATTGACTCTCTTTCTTCCTTAATTTTATTGCAATATTTTCATACAGTTTTTAAATATATTTAACGACTCAGGTGTTAGGATTTTCAAACAATTAAATGTATATTTTTAGGTAAAGGCAGGGCATATAAACAGTGTATTCTACCTTTTGAGGCTCTTCTTGGGATACTATCCTTTTCGTCCTTAATGTGATACTTATATACAGTAACTGAGATAGTTTATTTAATAATTACCACTTAAATCCCATATTAATTATTAAGAAATCTTGAAAATGTAAACAATTAAGTCTATAATATCCTTGTCCCAAGATGGGAATGCTTGCTCTTTGTCCCTGATCCACCTATATATATGTATATATCTATATCTATATCTGTGTAAATCCATATGTGTCTAACTCTCTGTGTCCGCTCTTTGCATGCTTGCACATCTCTCTCTTTCTGTTTCTCTCTGTGTGTCGCTCATCTCCGACTAACCACGCCCCCAGATCATGCCCATGCAGCATGCGCCAAAGTACGAGCCACCACGTTACACTTCTCCCCACACCGTGTTGTCGCAGCAGAAGCAGCAGCAGCAGCAGCCACATCCCGCCCAGGATCAGCAGCCACAGCGCCAGTACGCCATGTATTCGCAGCAGCAGCTGCACCAGACGACGACGACGACGCAGCCGCAGTTGCCGCCGAAGCCCACGCTGAGGACGTACATGAAGCCGCTGCCGAAGTTACCACCAGCGGAGCTGGAGGAGAGCCGGGACATGTCCTCCACAGATGACCTTAGCTCGCGGCCGCACTCGCCCTCGATGAGCAGCTCGGACGAGAGCTACTCGAAGACCACCGAAGGCGAGGGCGAGGGGGATTGCGACGATAATCCACCGCCACCGCCGCGTCTACCCAACGGCGGTCAACTGCATCACCTACAGCACCTGCAGCATCTCGCCCAGCATCTGCCGCAGCGCAACGGTCTGGTCAATCCGCTGCAATGGCTCTATCCCTGCGACATCCAGGTGGATCCCACCTCGCCGGTGGTGGAACAGCTGCATGACTTTGAGCTGAGCTCCACAACCGAGAGCCAGGGTCAGGGACAGGGACACACCACCAGCAACACGACGACAACGACGACAAGTAATGCACAGCAGAACAACAAGGGCGATGGGTGCAACCAGAAAGTGGTGACTGCCACATCCACAACGGGTGTGGTCAGTGCCACCGCCACCAAGTCACCCTTTGAGCGGGAGCTGCAGCGCCTGTTGAACGAGTCGACGCGAGCTCGCTGCCTGGCGGCCACCACCACGGAACACACGACCAGTAATGGCAGCCGCGACATGAGCTACTCCCTGAGCAACGGCAGGCTGAGCTCAAGCAATGGCCATGGGCCAGCAGGATCCGGTTCGGGAGTGGGCAATGGCAGTGTCAGTGCTAGTGGCAGTGGTAGTGGCAGCGGTAGCAGCAATGGTAATCTCAGTGGCGGCAGTGGCAGCAACTCAAACACAGGCAACAACAACGGAGGTCATAAGCAGCAACAGGAGCACATGGAGCACATGGAACACGAACTGCTAGCCGGCAAGTTGCTGCCTGGGAGCAGCAGCTTTATGATTGCCAAGCATCCGGTGGGCTTGGAGGCCATCAAGGAGATAACGCGCAACAAGAATCCCTCGGAGTCGAGTCAAATGTGAGTATGGCCATGAGATCAGTGATGGGAGGAACAATGGGAAGGATAACCCTTCCATCACTGGCCATGACGCGCAAGCCGCTTCCATTCCATTCCCATCAAAAGTCATATGGTGTGGGGTTCGCCGCTTCCATAACCGGTGGCTTCTGGTTGATCCTTAACCTAGTTGTAGTCCCCCCTTCTTGAATCCGTGAAACCCTTGCATGTGAACAACAACTAAATGTGACTCATTTTTACAGGCAAACCTCGGACACGGAATCCTGCGAGATCCTGCACGAGAATCGCAACCAGCAGATTCATGCCCTGGCCCTGCTGGAGATGCACTCGATCAAGGAGCAGCAGCAGCACAACCTCCAGCAGCAGCAGCAACAGCAGAGGTCACACCGCCAGCGACCGCGCTCCAAGGAGCTGCAGTACAGCCACGAGAGCCTGGACGGTCTGGATGGAGTGACCCAGCAGCAGCAGAGGCACCCACGCTACCACCACCATCATCACCACCAACAGAGGCAACAGCAGCACCATCAGCAGCAGCAGCAGCAGCGATATAACCATTTGCAGAAGCAAGAGCAGGACGAGCGTGACGATACCGAAGATAACCTGGCCGACGAGGAGTTTGAGGACGATGAAGTGGGTCGTGATGTTCGACAGAAGCGCCAACAGAGGCCAACGGACGTCAGCCACAGACCACAAGACGATGACGACGAGGAGGAGGATCAGCAACAGGATCGGGAACGCAAGGATGCGGCAGGGTACGGCCTGGAGGCCAATGTGATAAACGACGAGCTAAAGTATGGGGCAGCACACCTGAATCACCAGTCCATGGACTCGAATCCCTTGGAGAGCCAATCGGAGTGGTCGGATGATGATTGCCGCGAAGAGGCCACAGGTGAGTGTGAAAGAGAAGCTTCCGAAATAAACTGCAATCCTTAAATTTCCTCTTATCACACAGGTGGAGCCGAGTCAACGGGCTATATTACGGACGAGCCAGGCTTGGAAAACATTTCCCTGCTGAACGAGGCCGGCCTGACCGATGCCGAGGGTGCTCTGTCGGACGTCAATTCGCTGTACAATGCACCCGATGTGGATGACACCTCAGTGTCCAGCCGGGCCAGCTCGCGGCTACTCAGCCTGGACTCGCTGAGCGGCCTCTATGACTGCGACCTGGACTCCAAGCAGGAGCTGGCCATTGTCAATGCCTCGCACAAGATAACAAGTAAGTTTGGGCCGCCGCCTCCATCGCCGGCACAGTCTCAGTCGCAGTCGCAGTCGCAAAACCAAACCCAATCACAGAATCAGGCGCAGTTGGAGGAGATGGAGTAGAGAGTAAAGATTGAAAAGTACTTAAGATGGAGATACTTGCACTTGCTGGTGAGGAATGAGAATGAGAAATGTGAAACTCAAAACGTTGTTATTGCTACAAATGCAAAATGGTGTCTATTAATTAACAAAACAAAAAACATACACGTAAACCTAAACAAAAGCTAGAATATATATATAGGAAGACATATACATATAAATATATATATGTGTATATATATTTATGTATGACGTAAATACCCATTAGGCATTAGACAGACTCTCGTATACATAGTATATGCAGTTGAGTTCTATATGTATCTAAAACTACCTAGTAAGGAGCACGTACATCCAGTTAAGCGTTTCCAGTTACTATATCCCGCAAAGCAAATTAATCTATATTTCGCGATATGTAAAACCATGTATTCATCATTTAGTGCGCTTAGGATCTCCTAAGGACTCCCATCTGTTATTTATTTACGAGAATATATATGCATATATACGATATGTGTGTATCTTAAAGCGAATTAATTGCATGACAAGTTTTGTAAATAAACTTAATAAATATATAGAGACTGCGGCACACATGGAGCTGAATGATAGGATTGCAGAGTTGAAATTCAAGTCTCTTCTTTGTTGCTTTTTTTTTGTGTGGTTTTCTTTTTAACTTTTCCCCCTCATTTCCCCGTTTCTGTTGCCACGCCAAGCGTCCACCACAACCCCGTGTGCCATTCTATGTAATCGAAAAGCTGGCCACCTGCTTAGCTTTGTATATTCCATGATATATGATATAAAATATATGATATTGCGAATTTTCTACTTTAAGTTACACGAGAGGGAGGCTGACTTGAAGTCGCCTCCATTGCTCCTTCGATGGCAGCTGCACAACTAACTCTTAATTTGCTAATGCTAATTACCAGTCTGTAACTCATAAGCCTTAGTTTTTAATTCACATTTCGGTGTACTCTCGACTTTTGTCAGTTCGGGAAAGGAGTTCAGGCAAGGACCTTATAATAGACAAGACAAGTATCGATTGCTCTTCCTGCCTGCACTTTTCTCTCTCTTTGTCCTTAATGGGAATATTCCTACAGCTACATAGGCTACGTATGCTATCGACTGCAAATTATGTATGTACATAAACCATTTGATATAGAAGGAGGAAGAAAAGAAGGGAAATATATGAATATTATGATTTACAACTACTAGGACTTTAAGGAATGCAAAGAGACAAAAACATATTCTTGATATTGTTGCCCCGACAAAAAAACAGAAACAGAAACCGATTGAATCCTAAGCCCAAGCCCAAACAGAAACCAAACGAAAAACAAACAAATGAAAAACAAAACAAACTGTGCAAACAATACAAGTACTATATAATATATATTCTAGAGAAATGTAAACAAACAAATCCATATTTTGTGTGTGAAATTTATCAAGTCCGCTAAATATTATTAATTAACGAGACACAAGCTACAGCAAGAACTGCAAACACAGCCCACAGATAAACTTCTTATGCAAATAAGTAATATATAGACACAAATAGCGCAGATCAGATATATATATGCATGTACACAGAAACTTATGCAGAGTCAACCAGCTGGAATGAATACCTATATATATGTACTATATATATATATACAGAGAATAGAGAGAGGTTGCAAAGAGAACATTTATCTATTTATTTTTCGGTACCAAAAGAAAGCTAAGCAAAGGCAAAAACAATTACAAAATAATATTATATGCAATGAGACAGCCACCGCCTGTCCTAGATCTACACAATGTTATGTTGACAACATCCGGCAGGACCTACATACGAGCATATATATATATATATTATATATTATGAAATTGCAATTTGTATTGAATGTATGCGCAACTACTTGTAAAGTTGACAAAACTACCTTGTAAGAACAGAAGAACCCTACTAAAAACAAAAAATACTTCAAAAATGGCAGCATATCAAATATGTCAAAAATATATAAATATATATATGTGAATATATATATATGAATATGTATACACATGTTGAATTGTTTTTCAATTGGGAAATCAAGGGGTAAGTTGTAACTTTTTGCTTGCATTTTTGCAAGCGTGGATCCCCTTCAGCTGTTCTTAGCCCAAGCTTTTTCCCAAGTAGATCAAGTAAATAATAAATATTAGACATTATTTATTATAAATTAAACTCGAGTAATTGTTGTTTACCAGCATATGGTATATCTTATATATATCATGTCTCAAGTGCAATGACAGCGCCAAATCTTTATACAGGGGGAGTTGAGATTCCTACAGATACAGATGGCATGCCGCTGAAAATAAGTTGAAAGAGAGTAAATATTGGGATAAATTGAACAATAAAGAAATTAAATATTATACACCTGCCGGGATTAAACAATTGGCTATTGTCAAATTAAGTAGGTATATATTCTCTCTCCAAGAAGTGGAGGCTATAAAAGCGATCTAGCCACAATGCCATGGCCAGAAGTTATATCTAGAGATGTCACGAATGCTTCTGGCCCTGATACCGCTGGCTCTGAGCAGCCTGGCTTTGGTGCAAGGAGCCACCAATTACTGCGACGCCTCGCTTTGTGGCACCGCTAAGCACATTGCCTGCAACAACAATGGGGTGAGTAAGCTTAGGAACACTGCTTAATTGGATTTAACCTGCTCTTCTCCTAGGCTTTTTCATCTACCTGTCCCACGAGTCCCGCTCCCAAAGCAGTCAACTTCAATGTCAACCAGAAGAAGATCACCGTAAAGCTGCACAATGTGCTGCGGAACAAGCTGGCCACTGGGAAGCTGACCAACTACAAACCTGCCAAGCGGATGGCCACCATGCGATGGAACAACGAGCTAGCCTCGCTGGCTGCCCTCAATGTGAAGCAGTGCGAGATGAACCACGATGCCTGCCACAACACCAAGACCTTCAAGGCCAGCGGCCAGAATCTGGCCATCTTTGGCTCCACCGGGGACATAGCCAGCACTGATGTGGCAAAGCTAATCAGATCGTCGGTGAATGCCTGGTGGAACGAGTATAAGGATGCCAATCAGGCCATTATGGCCAAGTATCCCAACAACTATAGCGGACCGTGAGCATTAGTCTTAGATTTACACAGAACTATATAGAATAGTTAGCTCTATCTCCTTTCTACAGGCAAATTGGTCATTTCACGGCCATGGCCCAGGAGAAGAACACTCATTGCGGTTGCGCTGCCTCCATTTATGTAAAGGATGGCTGGAGCTGGTTCCTGATGGCCTGCAACTATGCCACCACCAATTGGATTGGTCAGCCCGTCTACCAGGCAGGCGCCAAGGCCTCTGGCTGCAAGAAGGGCGCCAATGCCAGTTATCCTGGCCTTTGCAAGACCACCGAGGTCTATAATGTCTAAACTTTAAAAATTACTTAAATTCAAATTAAAATCAAAATTATCAAAAAATGTTTACTAGGCAATATTTAATGTTGTTTTTTTTTACCAGCAGCTGTAAAAATAACTGAGACTCAGCTCTGGTCACAAATATTCCTTAAGAATTGTTGGCGATTTTCTCTCAATTCCAGTTGGATTAACATTTGCCTAGTGCTCGGCACGTGCCGGACTTTAAATTGTTATAAATGCTTTAAACAATTAATGAGTTTTAAAACAATTCAAAGTAAATATTACATATATTTGCTAATGCTAATAAAAGAAAGCGAACCTTGGCGCAGGAAATGTGTACTAGGTAGCTCAATAAGATCTGTTTCTTTATACGTACTACATACTTTCTGAGAAGAGTTATTATTTCTTATTATTAAAGAATTAATTTATTATTATGCAATATTTTAGAGCAGCAGCCAAAGAGTAGGCAGTGTTTATTATGAAGAAAATTTAGTTGAGCTTACTTTTTAAGGTGGTTTTGTGCGCTAAGCAAGGGCTTGCAATTTTCCGTTTTTAGAGTAACTTTTATATGTCTATAAAATTAAAATATAGTTCAAATATTTATCCTCAACACTGTTATAGACTAGATACTGCTCCACATATTCCTATATTTTTTACAATTTAAATACAAAGAAAGGTATTTGTATTTTGCCAGGGACAACACTACGTATGAGTGATAAATATTACATGGGCTAAATATTTATCACTCATACGTACTGTTGTCCCTGGTAAAATATTTATTTTCGGAGAAAAGGCTAATACTTGTTTCGGTTTCTTGGCCCTTTTACTATAGTTTCCTTAAGAAACTATCTGCCAGATAGATCATTGAACAAATACAAGTAGCCACGGTGGCGTATGAGTAATATGAGTGAGATTTCACGCTTTTCGCCCTAAGGAAACCTATTTAAAAGGGCATCCAAACGTCGCCCCTTGCTGTTTTTTTCCTGTCCTCGCATTACTCACCTTAGCTCTGTTGTTTCTTTATGTTGAATCGAAAACAATCAGAGTGATGCCAGCAGATTGGCGGAAAGTAACTCTCGGCTCCGCACACCTCCACTCACCCACAGTTGTTTATCAGACCTTTTTTTGTGACGTCTTTAGGGGGCAGAGCAGTGGGAGGAAGGGTGGGTGGTCTGTAGCCCACTATATGTATTTGAACGGCGGCGTAGCAGACTCAGCTGGGACAAATGAGACACTCTGGCGTAAATATTTAATCAAATGTTGATAAAAAACTGCACGACCTGGTCTCCATAAAAGCCCTCGGTCCGCGCGGAAGCTCCAGCAATCAAGTCCGGAACAGCACAATGCGCAGCCATAACGGGAACCTGGTCCTCCTCGGACTCCTGGCCCTGGCCACCACCACCGTCCTTGCCACGGACTACTGCAAGAAGAGCTGCGGCAGCACCCAGAATCTGGGTTGCAATAACAATGGGGTGAGTGTCTTCAGATCCTCGAGGGGATTAGTACAAGATTTAGACAGACCCCCAATACGACACAAGAAATATTGATACGAAAATACAAAGAGCCTTTAGTAATTTAGATGGAGTAACTTCTTAAGCAATTACCTAGATAATAAATGTCAACAACAAAGGCAATTATATAGAAAACAACACAAAGCGGTGGTTATGGTGTTATCTCCCACTTATAATTGGTTTTCCAAGTAAAAAAAACACTTTAGATAAAACCTGAACAACAAAAAGAAGTTGTTAAACTTAAGCCAGAACTAGTGTTACTTAGTTTTTCCTATGAAATATATGTATTATTTTATATTATGTGCAGGCCTGGGACTCTAGCTGCCCCAGTGATGCCACCCTAGTGACCCTCTCCAGCGCCCAGAAGGCCGCTTTGGTGGACAGAACCAACGAGTATAGGAACATCATTGCTGGCGGCTTGAATGCCAATCTGAGTGCCGCCTGTCGCATGGCCACCATCAAGTGGAACGATGAGCTGGCCTACCTGGCCTCCTTGAACGTCCGCAGCTGCCAGATGCGCCACGACGGCTGCCACAACACCGACGCCTTCGACTGGTCCGGCCAGAATCTGGCCTGGATGGGCTGGTACAGTCCCCTGAACGTCACCCACTATGTGGAGTGGGGTGTGGATATGTGGTACAGCGAGCATGAGTACACCAAGCAGGCCTACATCGATGCCTATCCCTCGGGTTACAGTGGCCCGGCCATTGGTCACTTCACCGTCTTGGTTGCCGATCGCAACACAGAGATGGGCTGTGCCGTTTCCACCTACTCCGTTTCCGGGCAATCCTACAAGGCCTTCCTCCTCGCCTGCAACTATGCGGCCACCAATGTTGTGGGCATCAAGATGTATAGCTCTTGCCCCAAGGCACCAGCCAGCAAGTGCACCACCGGCACGAATCCCACCTATAAGAATCTGTGTAGCTCCAAGGAGGTGTACGATGTGAATAACATGTTCTACTGAGTGTGTGTTTTGGGCCAATAAAAATGTGTGTAATAATTCGGCAGCTTATCAGCAGTAATAATATTGATGTGTTTGTGTTCCGGGAAAGATTATCTATAAAAGGTATATCCACCACCCATCCAGCTTTAGAAATCTTTTGTTTATTTTCTGTGATTCTTTGCTCACTGGTTTAAATTCCCCTTGAGTCTGCGCATGAAAACAAACTAATAAAATCCGGTGGTTTTATTTAAATTGCAGTCGTATTTTTGGCTCTAATTGAATTCAAGAAGCTAGTTGTTGTTAGTTGCCGTCTTCCCCGTAACACGAGTCTGCCCTGTCCCGAGGAAGTGATCCATAAATTGATCGGCAATCAATACTGATAAGGCTCATCGACTTCGAGTGTGTCTGCAAGTGGAAGAGACCTACCCCAAGGGGGAGACTTTGTCGAGTCCAGAGATGTCAGGCTGAGTTTTTTGTTTGGCTAGCTGAATTTGAATTTTAGTTAGTTATAGAGGGATTATGTTATATACAACAGATAAAAGGACCTTGACCATGAAATATGCTAACTAGAGTGGCAATACAAGCTCCTTATCTTTTTATTATTATGTTTTTATTCTCTCTACCTTAAAAAGCAGAAGAGACTTGTGTTATCTCTGATATCTACCAAAATTGATATATCTAGACTCTCCCAGAAGTGGTTCAATCTTCTCTGATTTGCAAATTAAAGTATGGAAATTTTTTGTCCGCATCACTGATCGTAGCCAGTAGTCAGTATTGAATTGACTTTCATAAATATTGGCCAGAGATTAGATTGAACTTGGTAGGAGCTCGTCTGATTTACAATGGCACTTGACCATTCCCGCTAAGTGCCGGAGCAGAGCCATATAAGCTCTGGCTCGAAGAGTTCTCAAATCAGTCCATTCATTTGAAAGCAAAGAACTAGACCATGAAATTCGCTTCGATTGCCATCCTCCTGGTGGCTGTGGGCCTTACCCAGGCCACCGACTACTGCTCGTGGGACATCTGCAATGGCGGCTCGCACATTGCCTGCGGGCACAGCAACTGGTGGGATGGCGCCTGTCCTGGCGATGCCGAGCTGATCGACATCAACGACGACTACAAGTGGGTCTTTGTCCACTCGCACAACGACAAGAGGAACTACATTGCCGGTGGTTATGATCCCAACCATAATGCCGCCTGCCGCATGGCCACCATGGAGTGGGATGATGAGCTGGCCTACCTGGCCTCCTTGAACGTGAGGCAGTGCAACATGGTCCATGATAGTTGCCACAACACGGATGCCTTCAAGTACTCTGGCCAGAATCTGGCCTGGCAGGCCTATTCCGGCGACCTGCCCGACATGGGTTATATCCTGGACAACAGTGTGCAGATGTGGTTCGATGAGGTGCACAATTCAAACAGTGGGATCATTGCCGGTGGCTATCCCTCGGGTTACAACGGACCGTGAGTTCTTTGGGTTACATTTCTCTCTTCTTTTTCTAATTGTTTTCTTTTTTCCTAGGGCCATTGGCCACTTCACTGTGATGATGTCCGAGAGGAATACCCGTTTGGGCTGTGCCGCTGCCCGTTATCACCGCGATGGCTGGAACCAGGTTTTGGTGGCCTGCAATTATGCCACCACCAATATGATTGGTCGGCAGATCTACTCCAGCTGTGACTATGGCTCCCAGGGCTGCAACTCCGGCAGAAATGGTGAGTTTGGCAATCTGTGCTCCGCCTCCGAGTGGTACGATGTCAACAGCTGGTAGAGATGACTGATCTGCCTGCTTAAGGTCATAATAAATCCCCAATGAGATTCTTACTCAGTATTGTTTTCTTTAATCTAGAAGGATATTGCTACGGGGGATTGATCTTCCTGATAGCAATCCTAATCCCTTCCCTTTTAGCGATTCCCAGTGACTTTGAATCTATCTGTGCTATTGATGTGTCTGTTGCTTCTGCATCTCCTGTTGCTTCTGTTGCTCCTGGGAATCCCCTTTGGCTGTGTAATCTCTTGGCGCACAGTTGTCGCATTTGATTTGGTTCTTAGCCGGCGGTGGCAACCACATCCACCCAGATTTCAGCATCCCTACGACTGCTACTGTTGCATCTGCACCAAGGTATATTGCTTCCGGCAACTGTTGTCTATTGCTTCGATAAAATCCCCAGGATGTGAGTATCCCCATCATCTTGGAGCACCCAACTGGAGTGCCTGGCGCTGTCATTGTTGTTACATGCCGAATTTGTCGTGAAATGTTCCTGGTAATCAATTTATGTGTTCCGTCGTCGTCGCTAGTTTTTTGGATGCTTTAAGCACCCCGCAACTCGGCGGCAGATGCTCCGAACGTGTTGTAGCCGCAAGCCGCAAAGTATTTGGGGAAAGGATAACGGGGTGGAACAGCGAGGGGTATGGATATAGGGTGTGGGGTGTGGGGTGTGGGGTGTGGGGTGTGGGTGTGGGGTGTGGGGTGTGGGGTGTGGGGTGTGGGGTGTGGGGTGTGGGGTGTGGGTTTCCCGGAAATTCACCTGCGAAATTCTCAACGATAACTCGCCCTGTCTTTCCACTCATCTCCGCCTTGCGGCCATCAACTTTGACGGTGTGTCTGTCTGTCTGTCTGTGTGTTGTGTCGGCATGTCCTTCCATCGGATCTGTCAGGATGCCGCTGGTCCTGTTGCTGTTGCTTACACTCAAAGAATAATGGAGAATGAATGATATTAGGTATAAATATAAATTGTTGCAAGTTTGATGCAGACAGACGCTTTTATACGTTTACAAATTAAAAAAAAGCCCTGAAGTATGTAAAATAAAGTTTTGTATATTTTCATTTAATTATATTTTGATTTATAAGTATAGATCATAGACTTTTCTGGCTGTGCATTTTCCGCTTCGCTTTTGGCGTACGTGAAAATGAAGCATTTTCCATTTGATGATAACAAAACATGTTTGGCATATTGATGAATGTCTCCAGAGAATTGTTGTCCCTGTCTATTTCACTTGCTGGGTTTTTGCTCCTGGCCAGGAGTTGCTTCCTGCTCCTGCTCCTGCTCCTGCTCCTCCTTCTCCTTTCCTTTCTCTCCTCACGTCACATTTCTGCACATCTTGCGGCAAGGATTCGAATTAGGCCCCAGCTCGTAGCTTCGCTCGCTCGATTTTAATGATGTGACTGATGGACGCCCACCGAAAAATGTGCTTTCTTTAGCTTCCCATGCCTTGCTGTGTTTTCCCTGCTTTCCCTGGCTTTTGCTTACATTTCATAACTCCCCCATTTCCCACCCTCCTTATTTATGCGTTTGTTTGCCTTTGTGAATACGTGATTCGAAGCAGTGCTGATGCTGGAGAGGGAGAGATGAAGGAGGAGTTGGAGATGGTAGTAAAAATATATACATATATGTATATATATATAAATAATAAAAAATAATTTCTCACTTCATTTGTTGCACAAATCGAAAATAAGCCAAGAGCGGCAGCAGGATGAAGTTTCCTTATGGATTATGGTTGGAATTTCAATGTGGCCATGCGGCGAATGGGTGATTTCAGGCGAGCCACGTAAATGCCACATACAGGGGTGTGGTAAAAAGGGGAAATTTACCACCTCCCCCACCCAAACATCCTCTTTTTCCACTCTCATAAAATGCCGCATAAGCCACTGTACAAATCAGCTAATGAATATGGGTACGTTCGAGTGAATGACTCAGCTGGTTTATTCATGAATGTGCTAAGGATTGAGACGTGGACTTTGGACGTAAAGACATATGTATACATATATCAAAAGGATCTAGTTACTACTATATAGGTATTATGTGATGAATCATTCAATAAATTGGTTTGGATTCCTCAAGTTATTGAATTGTTTCTACTTTGTTTCTTAACAAGGCTTAACCAATTTGAATTATAATAAAGAAAGATATATATTTGCTCTTTTATTGAGCAATTTGTTATTATAAAATATTTATAGAAATATATATATATAAAGTATTGGAAAAACTAGAAATATAAATCTAAATACATAATGAATAATTTACGATTTACCCTCGTCGTTTTTCAATATGGAAATGCCATTCATTTCCAGGCCAATGCTCGGCTGCAAATCATTTAAATTCAATTATAGCAAATTATGGATCACCGCAGCAGGAGCAGATGAATTGGGATGCCCAGCCAGGTGCAATTCAAATTACCAGCCAGGTGTGTCAAGGTATGTCAGAGAGTGTGTGTATGCGATATGTATCTTCTATCTATTTTGCAAGCTGCACAGGAAGCCATAAAAATGTTGCCTGCCAGGAAGCCAAAGGGCGGCGTCATCATATTTTTTTCGCTAGAGATAGAAATGCAAAAGGAAGATGCCCCGCTGCAGGATTGAGCAAGGGTCCTGGGAAAAGCGTTTAAAGTTAGCGATGTGCCTGTATTAGCATTTCACTTGAGCAAAGTTCATCGAAAAGCCAATCATAAACCACTTTATTAAATCGGACATGCCAAAAAGTTTGCTGCCAAAGTTTTACACCGCCGAAAAGGTAAGGAAGGAATAATTTGGGGAAGGGAAGGATGTAAGGAAGGAAGCGGAGGATGTAAGGCTCTTTTGACCGGGAATTTAGGTAAACAAATCGTTAAAATGCTAAATACTTCGAAAGTTCACAACTAAAAAGTTAACTAAGTAAAGAAATCGCACGTACTTTTAGGCTGAGAAAGCAATTTATTTATATATGAAAGATACTAATGATTTACATTTTATAAAAAAGAAAACTATCTTCGGGATGCCGAGAGCCTTGCAGTTTACAATTGAATTATTAGATTGAATCAGAATTCGATAATTCTTTGAATCAATAGTTTTCTATGAAAATTTATTTGACAAATCAATCTATAAATATATCATACCTTGGATAAAAATGCATTAACTTCAATTCGGAAATGTGAATTCAAATTAACCCAATATTAAATGCTTTATTTTCGATTCGTTTCGTTTCAAGAGGAAACTGTTGTGGCAGAAGGTTTTCCCTGCCTTCCCTGTCCTTCCCGGCCATCGCCCTTAATTTGTTGCCTTAGTTTTCCCCACAAATTACCATGCCCCCAGCCAAACAATTATTTGAATGCTTACAACTCGTGTCTGTGACAATTATAAGAGGAGGAGCTTCAGATCCAGCTCCAGGGCCAAGGACTCTCTCTTCACTGAAAATATTAAATTAGCTGCCAACTTGTGAGCCAATTTCAATTTGTGCTTCGCGTGGCAAACAATTTTTAAGCCATGTCAGGACGCATGGCTTTCTTCCATCTTTTGCAGCGCCGTGTCGTTGACACTTCAAGGATGTGTGTGTGTGAGTGAGCCAGAGTGTGTGTTTGTGTTGGCTGCATGCCGTAGCATACTTTGGAGCGCTGCCATTCATTAATCAAGTTCAGGGCACTTTAAAGTGGTTGCCCAGCCTCGACTCTGTCAGCCGGAGTTGAAGCTGAGGCTGAAGCTGAGCCACAACCAGGGCCGAGATATTAGCAGAGCTTGGTTTATGAAACTATCTTTTTTCGTAGAGAAATAAATAACTTAAACCATAACCATCCCCATATGCCAAAGCTTTAATTTTCCACCACAATTGTTACTACACGCACAAAGGAAATGTTATAATGATGAAATAATAAAGCCGCAGAACCAGTTCCATCCCCCAACACAACCGAAACGAATCCTCGGGAGCTACTCGCTGCTCACTGCTCCCATCTCCCATCTTTGGCCGCAATAAACGCTGATAGTCATAATAAAAAATGCCAAAAGGAACGCCCCAGCCAGCAGCCAGCAGCCAGCATCTTGACAGCATCCCAGGCATTCAGACCAAACAAAGGGGAGTCCCCCTTAACAGCAGCTCCTTATCACCGCCGAAAAACAGAGATATAACCCCTTGGGGGAAGCCTGGGCCTGTCCAGGCTCCTTCCCTATGTTCAATTGACCGCTCACATGCAACGTTTTGCGGGGCCAAGGAAGGCAATAAATATTTATATGTAAATGCCAGAGCCATATTGTCTTTTGGGCCACAACGCAAACGTAACGTATGTTACGTACCCAAGGGTACAGTTCACACATGGGCTTAGTGCACCAAAGCTGGCCATAAAGTCCAACAATTGTTATCATTAACACGAAGAAAGTAACTCTGGCCAAACAGCTTTATCATTTTCATTTCGCCAATGTAATTTTTTGTTTTATTTTAATAAAATTAAGAAGATGTTGCACTGGAAATCTTTGTTTTATATTTTTATATGAATAAATATTTGGTTTCCGGTTCCTGTTCCTATTTCTTCAGAATGCTTCTCACAGGAATCCTTGGCTTACCCGGCATTAAGTTGACAGCATGTGGCATTTCCCTTTAGGTATTCGATTTTCACAAAAGCCTAGAAATGCGGATGGTCAGTCCCTGAATGGATTTCGAGTGTCCTGGCATTCTGGAATCCTCCCTGCTGGGTCCTTCCATCGCCCACCGTTTGACAGAGGCATTCCGAACAGTCCAACTTGACCTCCCATTTCCTGGAATGCTGCAGCAATCAATCAATCAATCGCTCTTCACTGACCAAAATCGAGCTCTCTCTTCAAGTAAAAATACATATATAAGTAGGGTTTACATGGTAAAGCATCTATATTTTCTATATATAATTTCTCTCTGTGTAGCAGGAAGCTCAGGCTGCAGTGATTTGCATTGCTCTTGCAGTTACTTCATTATAACTTATCAGACCGCTGCGTGATGGGCATTTAATGGTTGATTACAATTGCAGACCAGCTTCCTCGCTTCCCCCAATGAACATGTGTGTCCTGGCAAGGACATCTAAAGAGGGTGGGGGTGTGGACTTGTTGC